AAATGGATCTATAAGAGGAAAAAGGGCCATGATGGTAAGATTGAGACCTATAAAGCTCGTCTTGTGAAGAAATTGTGCACTCAGAAAGAGGGAATTGACTATGAGAAAATCTTTTCGCCAGTGGCCATACTCAAGTCCATTAGGATCCTACTTGCTGTAGCAGAACAATATGATTATGAGATTTGGAAAATGGATGTCGAAACCGCATTCCTAAATGGAAATCTTACTGAAAATATCTATATGTAGTAACCGCAAGGATTCATTGCCGCATGTCAGGAACACATGGTATGTAAACTTAATCGATCCATATATGGACTTAAGCAAGCTTCTAAGAGTTGGAACATCCGATTTGACTCTACCGTCAAACAGTTTGACTTTGAGCAAAATCCGGATGAGCCCTGTATTTACAGAAAAACAGTGGGAGATAATGTTACATTCTTGGTTCTATATGTAGATGACGTTCTACTCATTGGGAATGATGTAGGAATGTTAATTACGGTGAAAGTGTGGCTTTCATAGTAATTCTCCATGAAAGATCTGGGAGAAGTGGGACTTCGACTTTATAGAGATAGATCGAAGAGGATAATAGGATTATCCCAATCTACTTACATTGATAAAATTGTTAAGAGATACAACATGGAGAACTCAAAGAAAGGAAATGTTCCTTTCAGGCATGGAATCACTTCTCCAAGGGTATGTCTCCCAAGACTCCCGAGGAGATTGAGGGCATGAAAGAGGTTCCCTATGCCTTAGTTGTGGGGAGAATCATATATGCCATGATGTGCACTCAACCTGACATTGATCAGGCAGTGAGTGTGGTAAGTAGATATCAATCAAACCCAGGATAGGAGTTTTGTTTGGTATTTGATGGTAGTTCACTATAGATCGTATGGTATACTAATGTTGGCTTCAAGTAAGACCCATATGATAAAAAGTCTACATCTGGTTACTTATTCATGATGGGGTCATATGTAGTTAGTTGAAAAAGTAGCAAACAGGAGTCCACTACAGAATCCACAATCGAGGCCGAGTACATTGCCGCAAGTGAAGCTGCCAAGGAATCCGTTTGGATGAAAAAAATCATTCAAGAATTAGGAGTTGTTCCATTCAGCACATCACCCATTCCACTATTGTGTGACAACACTAGAGCCATTGCTCAGGCTAAAGAGCCACGAGCCCACTCGAATTCGAAGCACATCGAAAGGAAGTACCACGTACTCCAGGAGATTGTTGATAGAGGGGACGACCAGATTCAGAAGGTAGCATCAGCGGAGAATGTGGCAGACCCATTGACTAAGCCACTCACACAGAAAGTGTTTGAAAAACACGTGGAAGGTATGAGACTCCGACTTGTACTCAATTGGACCTAAGTACAAGTGGGAGTTGTTACATAGTGTATGCCCTTAGCTCTAATCAGATTGATGTACATTTTGACATTTGTTGTAAATGAATAAAGTACATAATTGATTCATGTTATATATGGTGTGTTTTTGTGTAATTCCCTTAAACGAGACACTTATGAGACTGTTAGTTTAGAATCTTCACACTCGTTGGATAGACTTGGGGAGGTTTATCTTGCAAAGGTTGATACTAATGTGCTACTAAGTCGGTTGGGGTGGCTTGTTTTAATTACTAGGGTGAGATCCGAAGCACATGTAGTGTGGGTTTGTTTGAAACTCTGAACCAGACTATTTTCCAATTATGCCCTAGACCTTGGAGAAAGATGGGCAAAACTAAAAAATTACAACTAATTCCTAGACTCGATTATGGTACTATACTAGGTGTTGGATTGGACTGCCTATGATATGCCAATCGGTGAGATCCTTAGCAGGGGTTAAAACCTGGGTATGTTGGGACAGTCTTAGAATTCACTTGGGTGGGTGATCATAGTGACAAAATCAACCCCTTTGTAGGACAAAGTGAATGATCGGGGAATGTCCTCTCTCTGATGGATACCTAAACTGCCGATAATTGATTTCAAACCTATTGAGATTTGTTTTGCAAAATATATTTATATAGAGACATACATATATATTATGGTTTTACAAAATGTTTGCAAAATGTTTTAATTCTCGGGATTCATGTGAGCAGAGATTGCAACACTATACCTTGCAGCCGAGAGAGGGGTCCTCTCTTGTCGGGTAATGTTTGATCATTATGGGCTGAGAGGTTAAGTGTAAGACTATTCATGGCTTTTACTTGATGAGCTAATTTCACTTAAGTCTATAGTCCTTAGACCTTCATAATGTGGATGGACCCAGGGACCATTTAGTGTAAATGTTGGGCCTATTAAGAGCCCATACTGATGGGCTCAGGGGTTTACTATCTATAGTAGTGAATTCGGCCCAGCCTTGTATAGAAACTAGGCTGAAGCCATATGACTTTTGTTGAGATCAATGTTAGGGTCCCACTCCATAGAAAGAGATCCAAGATAGTTAGCAAATTAAAAGGGAAGTGAGCCTAATAACTTAATGGGCATAAAGCGCAATTCGAACTGGGTTAATGAGATTAATTAGAAGTGGGAAAATTTGAGTTTAGATACGCTTCTGGATCAAGAAGAGGATAAGATATGTCTTATCCATTTAAGAGTTCAAATCCAAATAAAGATTTGGATAAAAGAACCCTTTCCTAATAGGATTAGGAAGCTGATCCAGAAAGATTATAAATAGAGGGCGAAATCCTTATGTTAAACACTTTTGCATATCCAGTTCTTCTCTCTGTTCTTTCCGCCCTACCCAATTCGATCTTAATTCTTAGACTTATCAAGAATTGTTCTTGATTATGATTCCTGATGAAGAATAAGATATGAAGTTGTGCTCACATCCTTTGCGTGATCCTTGCTGGAGGATTGCAATTTTTGCTAAAGAATTGCTTTGCTGATCCTACCTCATCCTAAGATGTGTCATATTTAGTGGAGGTGGGATTTTGTAACCATTTTGGGTGTGGATACCTACGTTTGGAGCTACTTTCGTAGATTCCGTATCAGGTATAACCCTTCATTAATCTTGGTTTCAGATCTGGTCTGGTTTGTTTCAAGAACGAACATTGAAATATGCAATTTTTCTAAATAAGGGAATTGGATTCCCAAAATGGAGAAACAAAGTTTTGAAATTTCGTCTAGCCACCTTGCATAGTTCGGCCATCCATATGATGGAACTCCCTTCCCTTCAACTTCTACTTTTATACTTTTAATAGTATGAAACTACAAAATACAAATATAGCTTTTACTTTAGTATTTTTTCTTTGAAAACCGTTCGGGTAAAAAATTTTGAAATGCATGTTTTCCAAAACAGAAGTACTGTTTTCTGTTTGGCAAAAGCACCCTATCAATCATGTGATTCATCTGATCTTATACGCGATAATGGCCACAATATCCATGATTAGCCACTTGTATACACTAAAGATACACACACTTGCCATGTGTACACATAATGTATGAGAAATTTATAGTGTCAACCACTTAAAATTGGAACTTGTCATACACTACTTCTTAATTAACAACATGTGGCATTCACTGCATTAATCGTTTGAAATTAATGAAAACATTAATAGCCATATCAAACTACAGTAATAACTAGTAATCCATACTAGCATGGGATATTTGCCTCTAGCATCAAGGGATGTATACATTAGAAACCATCAACACGTGTATTAATAGTGGATTAATAAACGCATTCAATGGAGTAATATTGGCATTCGGTGGCAGACAAACAGATCAATGGCAATCATCAACATATGGGAATTCAGATGCATACAAAAAGATCAATGGCCACAACAGTAGTATACAGGCCTACAATGGAGTAATATGGGCATCCATGGATGTATACAAGCAATAACAGTGGAGTAATATGGGCATTTAGTGGCAATCATTAACATACATGTATTCGGATGCAGACAAACAGCTCAATGGCCGTAATAAGTATAAGTCAAGAGTGATATCAGGTTTGCTATATAAAAAATGCACAAGCAGAACTTTATAGGAAAGGGAATGCCATAGGAAACCACTATAACATCAGACAACAAGCTTCCAATCGCAATGGCTCATGTTTAATGTTTTGGAAAAAAAAAAAAAACTTGCTCCACAGTACACATATCAAGAAAACCATGATCATCTTCATTGTATAGGAAAGGAAATGCCATGTGAAAAACACAAATAGTACCATCCACAACAATCAATAACGGGAATGCCACAAATAGGGGAATCACAGATCATCGATAGAGACAGTTCATGAACAAGTAATAAACATTCCATTATATTGGTATTATAGCTACAACACTCCAGTTTGTTATTGGATTTGTACAGATAGTAAACAAGCTATAAAAACATTCCATTAAGCTTCAAGAATAGTTTAGGAAATGAGAAGTCGACAACAGTGATTCCAGTGGCGGTAAACATGCAATAAACATACCATTAAGCTTGAAGATATTGCATGAAATGGAGAAAAACATTAAAATAAGGGGGGAAATATGAAACTGGGATCCATACTTGTGATTCTGATGAGGATGAAGATTGTGCTTTCGGCAGCGATTTTTAGTGGCAATGGTGGTCGAAGATGGGCAATGGCAGAGCAAGAACTCACGGTGGCAAAGAGGCTATGGCTTGAAGACGGCGAGAGAATGGGGGAGTCTCGACCGAGGGGTTTTATCTGAATGGTGGTCACATGTAACCACCCTTCACACGAAATAGAAGCAAAACTTCCCCAAAAGAATGAAGTAATAAAAGTTGGGTTCGTGCTTTTGGGGGGTTTTGTGCTTTTAAAATGTATGAAATCCAAAGTAGAAAGTATGCCATGCAAACACGATGTGGTGTTTTTCACACTTCATACTTTCAAAAGTACTTTTGAAAAGTCTATCCAAACAAGGCCTAAAACTCCCATGACCCTGAGGGCAAAGGTGGAATTAACTTAATATTAGTACAAAGAAATTTGGTACCCCATAGATCACTCTTTTCTTCGTACAAGAAAAATATGAAGATTCAAAAAGGCTCATAACTTTGAAAGAAAATTAAGAAAAGGATATATAACTTCAGCATTAGGGTGGGTGATCTTCTACAATGTTAGATAACATAAAATGTAAAAAGGAAAACGTAAAGGAAACAACATAGTGGCAAATTTGCTCTTGCTGTGAACTTTACATAAAAGAGCTGCAACACTTGTAGGCTTTTTATGCCAAGTTTAGGGTAAGAAACACTGCAAAAATTTGTGCATATCTCTGTAGGAGTATTTTAAGTACATGTTTACCTAAAAACATATTCTTGCATTTTATAACTAGCACACTTTAGGAGGATGAAGAGGATGACAATCCAGAGCGACTGATTTCAGCCTTGTCTTTGTTAAATGCCTTTTGGACATCTCTCTTAAGTTCAACAAAACGTGACCGCTTTATTCTCTGTTCATCCAAGGATCCCTTCTCGAGAAAGAACAGATCAGGCAAATCGTCCTCCATGAATTTGTCTAGCACTTCTGAACAGTGAGGAAAGTATCGCCTACCCACCTCTACTGCAACCATGAAAATAGCAAAGCTTAGCAAGAAATTGCTCACAAAAAGAGACCCTCTGATTAGTTATCAAAGATTAGTAATTTGCTTTTGCAAATTGAAAACAATTTGTCTTGGTTTTAACTTAGTCCCATTTCTTTATTAATGTGCATGGGCTGGCTTTAGTATATTACTGAGGTTCCAACATCTAAAAATTGCCATAAATGTTTATGGTCACAAATTTCAGATCATTAAGGCATTTTTAATTGTGAGTATATGCCACTATTTTCTTCCCCATTGAGAGCTTGAGATCTGAATAGGCTCTATTTCAACATGAGATGAATGGAACAATGCACTTTAGGCTCCATTTGGGAAGAGAGCAAATAGAATGCAATTACAAATATGTAGAGTGGATTTGGTCCATGCAAATGCAAAGTTGGTTTAGTTTTGCATTGATAAATTTACTTTCTTTCCAAACAATTTTTAGTTGTAATAGGTGCAAACATGAATCCTAAGATTGAAATATATACCCTTTTAACATTAATCAACTTTGAGTGCAAAGTTTGCATCAATTTCTTGGATGCAAATTTTGCTCTTGTTTTTATAATAGCTCTTATACATTTTGGTGTTTGTGGTCCATGTTTGGGATTAATTTATAGATTAGTTTCCAAAATTTGGCAAATTACATGAACAACAAAGAATTCATAATTAAAATATCCAATGAATGTCTTAAGAAGTTATAATACCTAGATCTCCATATGTTTTCTAGAGAATGATTTCATGGGCGATAGTCCTAAAATATATGAATCCAGTACAACAAAAGCCATTATTAGACACTTTATGAACATTAATAGTTTCATTGGTAAACGACCATAGATCAGATTAGGTTAATAAAACTAGAAGTAAAAGAATGTATAAGCTTACTAGTAAGTGTGCACATGCTTTGCACATGACAATTCTAGATGATGATCATGATAGTAATAATGTACCCAAAATTTTCTATAAACTTTATGTATTTGTTATTTTTTGTTTTTTATTATTAATTGGATGCAGATTGCAAAATCCAAATCTGATTACATAAACACCTCATCCAAATATGTGATAATCAGATCGAGTTATGAAGTTTCAAGTATCATTGATAGGTTTACCTGCTTGTCTAGACTCTTCTTTTTGTAATATTTTATCTTTTAGGTGTATTTTTTTTTTCATTTATCAAACAAAAAATGTACGATTGAAATTGAGGGAATTGAATGAGGTGAAAAGTAGTAGTTCAATTTATAATTTAAACCTCACAATTAAATAGGGACTAAATTCAAAATTGAGTATTTTAGTTAAAAGAAAATTCCACAATCTTATTCATATTTTTAATATTAGTGTAAATATAGAATTATATGTGTGTTCAATTATATATACATATATATATATATATATATTTGTTTTCTGTTGCTTTTTTGTTTAATGTGATAAATATATAATATTATACATGTGCCTGAATGTTTTTTTTTGAAAAAATTTATGTATTCTTTTCATTTTTGTATTTTATATTTTATTATTTATTTATGACATTAAAAGTTAACACATTTGACCTAAAAGTTGAACTATTGATCTTGGACAAATAATAAAATAATTTCATTTTTGGTCAGTACTAAATTATGTATTTCATTTTCATTATCAATAAAAATAATTCTTGTTTATTACACTTATTTTTTAATTTGATTAATAAAAATATCATATATGTATCTATTTTTTCTATATTTTTGTAATTTTCTATATTTATTTCTATTTTAAAAATTTTATTACCTAACTTGACTTCATAGGTTAATCAGTTTGATTAGAATAAAGAATAGTTTTGTTTTTGAGTTAGTTTTAAAATATATGAGTTTATATTGTTAAAAATATTGACATAGATATAGTTAGTAACATTTATTAGTGAAAAAGAACTTAAATATATGATTTAATAAGAGAAAATAAGAGTTAATACCTTACCTATAAGACTTAATGAGAGAAGTGGGAAGTAATAATTTAAGTTACATTTTCAACCCTTACAATTAGAAATAGACTAAATATACAAATATAGGCATTTTAGTAGCCATTAAAGCTCTAATAAAATGACTTTTATACTATTTCTCAAACAAAGAAATAGAGGGTGTCAAAAAAAAATGCACTCTACATCCACACTTTTATATATAGTATAGATTGGATGGGATGCTCATCTGTACCAATGTACTGGATTTTGATAAATGACAGGTACAATTGTCATACTGATATCTAGATCTAGGCCTCTCAAGTTTAGATGGCTTTTCATTGTTTAAGGAAGTAAGTGTCGAAAGATGTGCATTTGAGTGAAACTAGATTCTAGAGGTAAATAAACAGATGAATGAAGACCAACATATGCACATGATTCTAAAAATGAAAAAAATCCTTTTACATAACCATTATTCCTCTACTTCCCTTAGGAGGAACCTAATTTACCAAACTATAAAATAACAAAAAAAAAAAAAACTTTATGAATTGGCTTATCATCAATAAATCTATCACTAACAACAACCTTTACAAATCTTGATGCACAATTATGTACCACTAGACATTTTGAGCACTGCACTTGGTTTTTTAGGTTGATAGTTGGGATAAGGCTAAGATGATGATGATGACGACTTGGTTTTTAGTTGATGATACTGGTTTTATGAGAACAAATTGTGGACCAACAGTACCTAACCTCTAGGCAAGCAGCGTTTTTGCAATGTTAAATTGAAAAGAAGAAAAAAGTTTATCAGTACCTGTCTTTTGCAGTGCTTCCATTCTTGAATGCAGTCTTTTGTTCTGCGTTGTAGGAGTCTCATTCAAATCGACCTCTCTCAAGTTACCAGATGAGCCTTTTGATGCAGAAAGACCAGCGAATTCAAATGTTGAATCTGCATGTGCACTCTCCATGGCTAGTCTGGCTTCAGTGGGGAACAACAATCGTGCAAATGCCACTGCAAATTTAGAGTAGAACTTATTATTTCCTTTTTTGATCAAAAGAACTTATTATTTCTTAGCATCCATGCATGCAAGCAGAAGTAAAGATCTGAACATTTTCTGATGGAATGACTGAAAAAATGTGCATACAAGGCAGAGTTCAAAGCAAGCAATGGTCTTGTTCTTCATTAACTGATTGGTAGAAAGGAGTCAACCACCCCTCAACAAGAATTAAAAGAAAATAACTGAAAGGCTTGTAGAGAAATCATTTGTTTAATATCATAAACACTCCCGAATGCTTCTGGAAATTCTGATGGTATTTGAAAATAAATACTCAAGGGGAAAGACTGTCACTTCTGAGATATCGGGTATCCCACAAGTAACTGATTGTCATTATTTCCTAGAAAACATATATCAAGAACGCAATTAAAGCTTGATCAAAATGAGTAGATGCTTCATGTTCAACAATTGTGAATCTGGGCCTACAATCTAATAATTCACCTCTGTTTTCCAGGTACAGGAGCTTCATGTGAAGATCCTCAGATGTTGCTGGTGATGATATTGATGTGGCCCCTGCCATTGGATTCCTCCTCATCTCTCTTTCCAGAATGTCAATGCATATCCTATCTTTGTTTGTTTCCTGTCCCTGTATTGTCTTTGCATTATAATCCTTTGGCCTAGTCAGCCTCCTACAGATTCTAACTGCGCTCTGGCCATCAGACGTCAATTCCAATGCAGAAGCTCCTTTATTCAGCAGCCTAACTATTATAGATGGCTCCTTACGCATTGCAGCAACATGTAGCACTGTGTAACCTCTGGCATCCCTGAGGTTGGCATTAGCCAAACCCAGATCAAGCACCTCTGCCACAACCTTGGGATCACAGTAGGCAGCAGCATAGTGAAGAGCATTGGCATCATCCAAGGTGACCCCTGATTCATTCAGAAGAAGTTTCACCAGTTCAACATCATCAGAATCTAAAGCCTTGTGGATTCTTCTGATGTTCTTTTCACGTACTGGATCCACATCCATAGCAGAAGCTTCATCTAGATGAGATTTGAGACGGAGAGATTTGATGTCCATTTTGACTTCATTAGGGAGTTTTTCCAGAGAGATGCTATCAAGATCTGATCGTGCTATTCTTTGGACACAATGATCAATGAGATGATTCAATTGGCAATGAAAAGCCACCATAAGGATGGGGATTACATCTTCCGCAAAAGCCTTTTCCACAAAGATGAGAAGACGACGCTGCAGGGAAACGCATACTATTAAATCATAATTACTCATTATACAAATTCTTGTAGAACAGGACAAAAGTGAGTGACAGAAACAAGGTCAAAGTCCAATAGATCTGAATGGCCCTGTTCATTTTTTGGTAAATGGAGGGGGGGGGGGGAGTTGGTCAATGAGAAAGTTGACCAATAACTTCCCACCTGGGGGGAAGTTGCCAAAACATCATAGAACAAAAATGCCCCTTCCAATAATGAAATTTTATGGGTAAAAATGGTCAACGGTTTCACTTACGCTTTTGATCAAAAGAAACAGGTAAATGACTTAGCAAAAAATGAACGAGGCTTTAAAGTTAATGGTTTTATGAGCAAAATACATGAAAATGAGTATGTTCTCAAATTCTAATTCTAACAATTCCTAAAATGAATCAACAACTAGAAATCCAAACTTGGAAATGAACAATGCCTCTGACTATATCATAAACAACCCTACAGTTTTCCCCTTCATCAGATGATTGTGGACTAACTAGTAACCATGGATGGATGAATATTGGGCTATGGCCCTAAGGATTCTATCAGTCCATCTTAGAGCCTGAACTTTGACTTCCATAAGGAGCACTGATGGTTGCATTTTCCACAAGTGATCATCTAGGGATCCGAGTTGTCCTGTCTCATATGTCCTGTAAAATGCCAATTTAAGAATTTGCAATATAGATGGACATATTTAATTCAAACCAATATGGAAGTGCAACATTATTACCCTGTAACTACCCTCAAATTTATCAATATCAAAGAACAAAAGAAAAACATGGGAAAATATCTGAAAGAATGAAAAAATTGATCTCCATTGATACTTTGCATGTGTGCTGCAACATCATCTTTGCCATGGAGATTGTTGGATTGAGTAAAGGCTTAATGAAACCTAATAGATTTTGTAGTTAAATTAACAAAACCAAGCATCTCTGTTAAAAGCACTCAACTGATTTCCCTCTCTCTGATGTTTAAGTTGTCCTAAGTTAACATCTCCAATAGCTACAAGAAAAGGCAAACTTTTGCACACATCCATAATGATCAATACATAATACTACAATTCCATCGGAATAATCTATAAAAGGACATATAAATGAGGACCCTGTGATTTATCAGATGGTACTTTGAGAATGAAGGGAATCAAAGATGTTTTGAACTAACTAGGCCCTCAGGATGGTATACTCAAATTCATTATCTATTTGGAAGGCACCAATTTTTAAAGAATCTCAAAAACTTAATTGAGGGCCTTGAGGCTCTAGGCGTGGTATCACAAAATACATGAGCATTCTGAATATATACTACCAATTAATCGCAAATCCAACTTTCCCAAGTCTCCTAAAGAAGATGTTCAGATCAGGAACTTCATCAACAACCAGTCTTTTCTCCACCACAAGTATTAGAGAACTCAACTGGAAAAATCACCAATAAGCTGCCTAAAGATGCTCTTGGGTATTTGAGTATTTCACACAGAAAAGGCTAATTGATGATCAAAAGGGGAGTTAAAGTTAAGTTATTTGATTAAGTACAGAGGGAACCTTAATCAGAGGGCATAACTGACCTGAAAAAGTGAAACCAGCTCTGTTATCTGAAAATGGGCAGAAGTGTACATCAGTTCCACGATAAAATTTATTGCAGGTCGGCAGGCATCATGGGCACATGAAGAATCAACGCACGTTGATACCTCGGCTGGAGATGGCTTCAGCTTTCCAGTGTACAAATAGCTCAAGAAAATCGTGAAGGCTTCATAACCAACCTTACCATAAGGCACCAAATCAGTCATGTTATATTGTGGTTTACCTTCTTTCTGAGGAGAACCCTTTGTCTTTGTGAAAAGCTCATGGAAGAATCTACTCCTGGCGGCCAAAATACATCGGTGTACACCCACGGTGTTTCCCTCAACTATAACCTCTGCATCACTGTAGTCAAGTCCAGTATCAATCAGGAGCTGTTCCATGTTAGAGCTGAGCTTTCCCAAACTGATGATATCAAGATTGACTCCTGGTTCAGGACTGGTCGGAGCAGATAAGTTATAGCTGCTTGAACCATTTGATAGATGGGAAGACGAAGTAAAACTCAAGGAAGATGATGGCTCCGACGACATTGCCATCGTCTCTACTCTATAATCTCCCTCTGATTGGACTGTTGTGAATTATGATCCTAAAAATTCTAGATCTAGAGCAAATAGATGCATTAAAAGCTTTCAAACACCGACTATACAAAAGCAATTACAGAGACAAACGAAGATAGTAAAGTCTAAGAAAGAATTTGCAGAAGTAAACAGATGTCGACACAAAACTATACTAAGAAGTTCCAAAACTGGGTGGCCAGTAGAGGAAAAGGAATAGAAGGATAAAGCAACGAACCAAAACTAGAACTCTGAAAAGGAACCCTTTTTACAACATAATCGGTACAAATTGAAGCAAAATTTGAAGCTGGCGACCCAGAGTAAGCTGCGGGAAGTCTTCCTATATTACATCTAAATAGATGGCAGAGTCAAACGAAAAGAGGAAGACCAGTTCCCATCTCTTTTGAATTTCCAATAACCGCGACGAGCAGTGCAAATAATCGAAGAAATACTTCCGATCGACATGAAGGGACAAAATAATCCACAGAGAAACCCTCAAATTTTCAGGAACCAGAATTCAACATAAACAGCTCTACCACAGAAATCTCACGAGCAGCTAAGATGGTCAATAACAAAATGACTTCTACTTTCTTCACAAATTTTCACGACCCGTGAACAATAAACAAATTTACGCACAGAGGTTTCCCTGATCTCGCTTGAATTCCTACTGCACTTCAACAAAATATACAAAAATTCGATACCAACACATTAACTACCTCCAAATTTCCACACATCCCCGATTTGATCCAAAACACAGCCCAATTCAAAAAACTCCCTCACTTTACAGCGGAACTTGCAACAAAGCTAATCAAAACCAAACGACAAACCCCCCATCTCCTTTTCTGACCCACACAAACACTCAAAGATCAAAGACATATGGTATAACCCCACTGAACAAACTTCCGGATTTCAAGAGAACCACTCATTTTCATCCCTTGGAATTCGCATTAAATCTACACGAATTTACTTAGTTCCTTCCGATCCATCCACAAAGATCATCGAAAACGACAAAAATGACAGAAATTCAGAAAGGGAGCTAAATTCGATTAATAAGTCTCCAATTTCACGCAAGAAAAGGTTGGATTAGCTTAGCAGGTAGAAAAATAAGTCAAGAATAACTGAAAGGGGGGAACGAGATTCCGAGACAAAGCGTGAATAGTAGAATCTTACGTCTCCGCGTCGCATTTAGAAATTTCTTCGGGGTTCATACGTGTTTTAGAGAGAGGAAGAGAGAGAGAGAGCGTGTGTAAGCTGTGACGTATGCTAGAGAGAGGGAAAGAGACGAGAAGGTGCATCGTCTGCTTCTGCTCATATTACCTGCTTCTCTTAGGGTGATGAAGTCGTTTGCTGACGCCTCTGCTGCTGTCACGTTTGTCGTTAGGGTTTGCTTACGTCTCCAATGGCGTCATTCTAGTGATAGAAAAACAGTGCTTTCCAGAGAGAGAGAGAAACCGATATCGGTGAGAGAAAAGCGGAATACCGATAAGTCGCAAAGACTTTAAGAGGACCGATACCTATTGGCTAATGGCTATGGATATATACTCGCTAGGCCTCTACATGGATCGGGTCGCATTATGGGCCCGTTTGGGAGGGATGAGCTTTGAAGCGTTTTGAAAAAGCTATTCAAGAAAGCTGAAGCGGATAGCACAGTGCCTATTTGGGTGGCAGCGGCTTCTTGTAAGTTGTAACCAAGGTTTTTAAAATCGATTCGGTCAACGAATTGGTCAGGGGTCAGGAGACCAGTTTTTGGGTTGAATGGTTTAATCACTCGGGTTAACAGTTTGTTGACTAAATCAATGTTTTTTTTACAAAAATCTGATTTTAGAGAAAAACAGAATCAGCCATATGTAAAATAAAGTAGGCCCCACACCGAAACTTATAACTTTACAAAGCCATGTTTTGTAAAATACCTGAAAGTTAAAAAATAGATTTTTAAAAATTAAACTATTTTTTAAAGGTCTAGAAAGCAGTAATTAATAAAATAGCTTTGTTGAAGCCCACGCAAATGAGAGATCAGATCTGCTTCTCACATAGGGCGTCTCACACGCACCTTGCACGCACATCCTACCAACTATTGGGAACATCTCCCATACTTACAAGTTATTTTTCACGGGAGATGTTCACAATGCATGATGGATGTGTATGTGAGGCGCTCAAATGTGAGGAACAGATCCCGTTTCTCCAAATGAATCCTAACAGAGACCGCTTGGAAAGGCTGAACTGTTTGGGCTGCCTTGAAGGGCTCTGGATAAACTGTTCAAAGAGGCTGAAAACGACAGCCCTCAAAGGTACTGTGGCAGCTGACTTTCGGATCTCACCACCGATATCTCGCTAATAGTGTTTATGTGGGGTGGGGCCCATCTCAGAAGCCTATAACCCACTGCATTTCAAAGCTCCCACCTTTGAACACCCAAAAGCCATGCGCTTCAGCCCTTTCTAACGAGACTACGGTGGAGATGCTGCCTTTTTTCCTCCAAAAACAAATCCAATAATTTTGGTTTCGGTTGAGAGGATCGCATCTAAAGTTGTAAGGTCAGCCATGTCATTCGTGAGTCGGCATCGCCAGTAAGGGTGTGAACGGATTGAATTCGAATTTGATCAAGCAATATCTGAATTCGAATATGATTAAAAAAATACGATATCTGAATTCGATTCGATATTCGATGGATATTGAAAATTAATATCCGAATTTGAATCTGATTAAATATTTGAATGTCTGATTCAATTCAAATTTGATTAATTAATTATTTTAGATAATTTATAAATATATAAAATAAATATTTTATTGATATAAAATATATAAATTATTTGTATAACTTAATTATTATATATAAATTATAAAATATTTTATATATTATATATAAGAATTAAATAATCGGTCGAATTCAGATATTTATCGAATCGAATCAGGTCATATCCGAATTCGAATCCGATTAACTATTCGATAAGAATAGGATATCCGAATTCGACCGATTAGATATTCAAATTATCCGAATCCGATTCGATTATGTCGAATATCGAATTTGAAATCGAATTTTTGAATACTGTTGACACCCCTAATGGCCAGGCACGATATGGCCGTTTAAAGTATGGCTCGGGTCTAGTGTTAATTGTTAAGCATGGCCTGGCCCATACTTGTGGGTTATGCCAAGCTTAGGTTTTTAAGACCCATGAGCCAGCACATCACAACATATATAGTAGCCCATATATATAAAAATTTTTATTTTCAATTTTATCATATTATGTTTTTGTAATATTTTATATAGGGTAAAATACAAAAACCTCCCTTATAGTTTCATTTTAGTAAAAACCTCTCCTCTATTTTTGACAAAATTAACAAATACCATACCTCCCTTCTGTCAATGACCAAGACGGAAAAGTTAAAGAGATGATCATTTTTTCAAAATACCTATTTACCCTTTCTTTAACACTATTCCTCTTCTTCCCCATTCGAACCTAGAAGCAGAGGCAATGGCGACATCCCTCTAAATCTGATCTCTTCCTCTTCTCTCATCTTCTTCAACTTCTTGTTCTTCCCCCTTTTCCCTTTCTCTATCCCATTTCCGCCGCTGCAACTCTTTCTCCCCCCATCTGCGCTCCCTCTCTTTCTTCTCCATCTCTTTTCTTCTTCTTGTTCCTCCTTCCCCTCCTTTGTTCTCCTTCCCATGTCAGCATCCATTTCCAGATCACTTTCCATCACTGTTCTCTGATCATCACCATAGCTGCATCCATTGCATTTTTGTTTAGATTTTCGGCTATCTCTCACCGTTTTCGATTGCCCTTCTCATCCCCTATCATACATACCTCGTCTTTTAGCATCTCGGCTCCCTAGATCTATAACGCAAACTCTGCTTTGAACACCATTCGAACAGAGCTGGTCGCTACAAGTTTCATTTGAAGTCGTTGCTCTCTCTTAGCTTCAGGTGACATTCACATTGGAAAGATCTCCTTCTCTCGCCAATCTCCCATTTGTATCCTTTGAGAACCATTGCTATCCGAGATGGAAGTTAGCTCAAGCTCCCTATTGTAGAGTTAAGTTTCAAGCCAAAATCCCAGTCGAGGATCAAGGTTGGTGCTGCCATGGCTGGAACCATTACTGTCGACGACATTCTTCTCCATCTGCCAAACACATGGTGACACACCTCGGAGCGAATGCAACATGTATTGCCTCGATTACAGCTGTGACACATTCTACTTCTATTGCCGGGGGTCAAGGCACAAAGATCATCGAGTAATTTAGGTGGGTAGTAAACTCTTTTCCTTGTCTGTTTTCCTTTTGTTTCAGATTACTGAGTTCATTTCTTTAAGGGTGGAGTCCTGAGGAGATGATTGATTAGAGAGAGGAGGGACTGATTTGGGATTTGGTTGACAAATAAGGTGATCATCTTATCATGATGTGGTGAGGGTGGCCGAAATTCAGAATGTTCTTGATATCAGTGGAGTTCAGATGTATGTGATCAATAGTGCCACTGATGAAGATTGAAGAATGGGGAGGAACAGAGTGTCTGGTGTGGAAGCCTCAAAGAGAGAAATGAAGAAGAAAGGGAGAGCAAGAGGAGACACAGAGATGCCAAATGAGAGAAGAGAGAGAGAGAGGGGGAATGATGAATAGTGCTATTTCATGTTGGTGGGAAGAGAGAGAGAATCAGAGGGAAATTAAACAAGAGGGAAGGTTAGAGGGGGGAGTGCATCACCATTCTGCCGTTGGTGTGAGAAAGATGATGAATAATGTTCTAGAAAAGGTAAAATAGGTATTTTGAAAAAATTGGTCATCTCTTTAACGTTTTCGTCTTGGTCATTGATGGAAGGGAGGTATTTATTAATTTTGTCAAAACAGAGGGGAGGTTTTTGCTAAAATGAAACTATAGGGGAGGTTTTTATGATTGTCAGAAACTTCAGGAAATGTTTTTGTATTTTACCCTTTTATATAAAAACAATTATATACTTTATATAGAAAACTTTAAGTTTTTTAAGTTCTTATTTATCTTGTTAATTTATTTTAACTTTTTTATTACTTTTCAATTTTTCTAAAAAATTGTGCCACCTATGGCCATGCATGGCATGGTATGGGCCCACCAAGCTTCTCTTTTGAGGGGTTTTAGGCCAACCAGGCATAGCCTACCTAGGCCCATTCATTTATTATTTTTTTCTTTTTTTCTAAAAAAATTGTGTCACCCACAACCCAACTTGCCCTGACATGATATGGGCCCGCTTGAGCTCGTGTCGAGCTTCCCTTTTGAGGGGTTCCAGGCCAGGTAGGCACGACCTACGATAGTGTGAGCAACTTGCAATGGGTTCTCTATTTATTTAAGTGGAATAATACAGGGCATTTTAGTAATTACATCGTTGGGCTAGCATGTCATTCATAACACCCCATCACATATAATATAAGAACACTATGGTGTGACAAGGATGGAAAGGTTTAACCTATTATACACAAAAATGCCACTAGGCATTAATATTAGGATTCCATAGAGTTTGGATCTCCTACCCACAACAACTCTACCTACATGAGATCACAACCATGCCCTTATATGGTGTTGTGCATGGGGAGATGTTCCCAATGCATGGGGGTAATGCTTTGTGGGTAGGAATGGGTAGAGTTGTCATGGGTAAGAGATCCCATTAGTACCTTGTACTTTGGGCTTAGTGCCACTTTGGTACCTAAACTTTAAAATGTGACAATTCAATACCCAGACTTTCAAAACGTGCCAATCCAATACCTGTCATTAACTAGTCATTAAGTGACATTTGAAAAGACAAAAATGCTTTTCAAATGTCATTTAATTCTCTTTATCAATTGTCCAAACATTGATAAAAAATGAACAGTCCCAATTCCTTGCCTCTTCTATACAAGAAAGTTGGGGTCACATCTCAGTGGGCATTCTAGTGACTCCAACTTTCTTGAATAGAAGAGGCAAGGATTTAGAACTGTTCATTTCTTATCAACATTTGGATGGTTGATAAAGAAAATTAGATGACATTCGAAGGGATTTTGCGTCCTTTCAAATGCCACTTAATGACTACTTAACAGATTGGTTAATGGCATGTACTGGATTGGCACGTTTTGAGAGTTCGGGTATTGAATTGTCTCATTTTAAAGTTTGGGGACCAAAGTGGTATTAGGCCCAAAGTACAATGTACTAATCAGGAAATTTCCTTATTTTCAAAAACAATATCATTTCTACCTTGCCATATAAGGTATTAAATCTTTTTATCTCTCTATTTAAAGTATTTTTTATCACAAATGAATTCTATTAATTAGATCTATATCCAATACTTTAAATAATA